CTTGAGGTGAGATCCCCGAAAATTTATCACCTCCCATGTCTTTGACGTTGGTGGGTTTTCACCCCTTTTTTTGGCCGAAATTTTTTTTGTACTCTGATGAAGATTTTAATTTCCTCGTTTTACCATTCTGAGTAATTGAAATTTTTCATCGTTGAACTTCAAGTTTTTCCCTTTCTGCAGCCCACTGAAAGATTCGGTTTGATGTCTTCTAGTGCTTGCAGTGTCTCAAGGAAGACACTGTCATGGCAGATCCGGTGTCATCTGCAAAGGAAGACACGTGCTGTGGCTGAACCTTTGTCTGTGGCTCATCTGAAACTTCAGCTTCCAAAGTGACCCCTTGTTCCTGTGTCCTCTTCTGGAACATCTTACTCTGCTTACCTTGTCTATTCCATGCAGTATTTTCGTTATCATGTCCGGGGGAATGTTCCCCAAAGGGTAGGCTGATTTCCCTCACCTTCGTTAGGACATTTCCCTGTTGGAACCCTTTTTGGAAATTTGATTTCTCCAATTTTCTTAAGTGCGAGGTACGGGTTATCCACTGGTCTGCATACTCCGTATGGCCTGCGTCAGTGGTTACAGTTCTTTAGGATATTCCTCAATCTAGGGAATCGAATTTACAAATTTTCATTCTTAGGTGCCATATCCGCAGCAGTTCCATCTGGTTGATGTTCTTCCGAGACATGGTCCGTGTTAATCCCCAAAATCATTTCTCCTTAGGCAAGAAATTTTGGTTAGGTCTTTGGCCACCTAATCCAAGACTCTTCTTGGTCTTTGTGCCTTCCCACGATCTTACACTTTGGCATTTGCGGTTAAATTTGAAAGCCCGTTGCTGGACCTTGTGGGCCATCCTGTCAGTCTCTTTGAAGTCCTGCCTGATCATCATCTAATTTAATTCTCCTCGTTAACTTCACATCATCTGCGAACAGGGACACCTCTAGTCCCATCCCTTCCATCATGTCATTCACATAACCAAAAATAGAATTGGGCCTAGGAAACCGACCCCTTGTGGGACCCCCCTCGTCAAAGTTTCCCACTGTGATACCTCAACACGTACCATGGCTCATTGTTGCCTCCCTGACAGATATTCTCTGATCCACTGCAGTGCCCCATCCCGTTATACGGTGCCTCCATCCTCTAGTTTCTGCACTAATCTCTTGTGAGGAATGTGTAGAAGGCCTTTTTGCAGTCCAAGAAAATACATCAACCCACCCCTCTCTCTCTCATCTTAACTTTGTTTACTTTATCATAAAACGCCAAAGGGTTTGTGACACAGGATTTGCCTTCCATTAAACCCTGCTGGTTGTCATTTATACTTTTGTATGGTGAGGAGGAGACACAACTTCCCGTCTTGAGAGTCCACATTATTTGGGATAATAGGACCTTGCTACATTAGCTTACTAACAAATTATATATAATAAGGAGCAGAGTGAAACTTGCTACCCTGCGTCTCTCCTTGGCCACATGAGCATCAGTGTACTTCTCATAACATCTCCTCTAAGGACCAGGGAGACATACCTGGAGACCTGGAGAGATTCCGGGGTCAACGCCCCCCGGCCCGTTCTTTTGACCAGCCTCCTGGTGGATCAGAGCTGATCAACCAGGCGTTGCTGCTGGCTGCAAAGCAAACCCAACGTACGAGCCACAGCCCCGGGTGTCAGACCGACTTTAGTGCTTTTCCCTGCCCAGCTTGAAGACTGCCAGGGTCTGTTGTAAACCCCTTATGTTTGCTGGGAGGCAGTTGAACAGTCTCGGGGCCCCTGACACTTATTGTATGGTCCTCTTAACGTGCTAGTTACAACCCCTTTCTTTTCATGGGGGATGTTGCATCGTCTGCCCCAAGGGCTTTTGCTTTCGTAGTGAGTGAAATTTCCATGTGCAAGTTCGGTAAATAGTCCCCTAGGATTTTCCAGGTTGTAATAACATGTATCCCCCTCCGGGGTTCCAGGAATACAGGTTTAGGAACCCAAGCGCTCCCAGCAATTGAGGTGTTTTATCTCCGTTATGCGCGCTGTGAAAGTTCTCTGTACATTCTCTAGGTGGGAATTTCACCTGCCTTGAAAGGTGCTGGTTAGTGGTGCACAATATTCCAGCCTAGATAGAACAAGTGACCTGACGAGTGTCATCATGGGCTTGGCATCCCTAGTTTTGAAGGTTCTCATTATCCATCCTGTCATTTTTCTAGTGTAAAACGTTACTAAAAGTGCAATTGACTTTGCACGTCCGAGCATACCATTGACCGCTGACAACTCTATAATCCGGCTGATTGAAGTTGTTCAGTCTATCACTTCTCTTCACTTTATCATATTTGTACAAACTGTACTCTCTGGTATCACTGTTTTTTTTGCACTATGATATGCTAAAGTATCTTACATGGAATAACTAGAGAATGTATCTATTTGACTTAGAAACCCTAAATGCTGGTACATGTCAATTAATGTAATTTCTACCGATTGATCCTGGTCTGTGTAGGTGCTAGGTGACCAATTATATTGAGGAAATTGTGGAAATTTAAAAAGCGATTTTCATGCAATTTGTGAATGTCTAATTCATTCAGTTTGAATCCTTTGAGAGAAAGCTTTGGATTGTTTCATGTCCAGTGGGCTGGTTAGTGTCTGTGGTTTGATCCCTGGCAAGGGTGAAAGCATTGGGCGTGTTTCTGTACACTTGTTGTTCCTGTTCACCTAGCAGTAAGTAGGTACCTGGGTGATAGTCGACTGGTGTGAGTGGCATCCTGAAGAACAAGATTGAAGGACCACATGGGAAATAAGACTAACAGTCCTTGATGATACACTGATTTTCTTCAATTATCCTGGGTGGCTAACACTCTGGGTTAAAAATCTGAACAAAATCTTATCTTATTGGGCTGTGCAGATGCGATGTCCCCTGACATAAACTGATTGTATACTGTACTTGGGAAATCTTAGAGGGACTAGTTTCAAATCTGCACGTGGAAATCTCTTTAACGAGTGCTTTAGAGACAACACAATAAGTGTCAGGGGTCCAAGACTGTTCAACTGCTTCCCAGCATATGTAAGGGGGATAACCAACAGACCCCTGGCTGTCCTCAAGAGAGAACTGGACAGGCACCTAAAGTCAGTACCTGACCAGCTGGGCTGTGGTTCGTACGTCAGTTTGCGTGTGGCCAGCAGTAACAGCCTGATTAATCAGGCCCTGATCTACCATGAGGCCTGGTTATGGACCAGGCTGCAGGGGCACTTACCATGGAACACCCACCAGGTATCCTATAAGTACGTAGTTATAAGCACTGTGGTTACAAGTAGTATTTGTGAGGAATGGGAGACAATCAGGTTCAATCCAAGAGAAAGTAGGACAAATCTAATTGCTTGGATCAAATGCCCCTCATCAGCCTCAATGAATCTTCCTTCAAGGGAAAATTATTGCTTGGATCAAATGCCCCTCATCAGCCTCAAGGAATCTTCCTTCAAGGGAAAATTATTCCTTGGATCAAATGCCCCTCATCAGCCTCAAGGAATCTTCCTTCAAGGGATAATTACTCACACAATGATGTGGGTAACAGAAGCCCATGTGACTAGGATACAACAATAATCGACAGAAATATACAGTATGTTCTGTGCACTTTCTGGTATGTTCTCTACTACGATTCACAGATGACAAAGACAAACCGCTGTGTATTTTGATAATAACAGATATTTACATCTCTTCAATCAAATGCCTGTCTTGGCTTGGCATATCAGATAAGAGGATACAAAAACTGTGTGTAATCAGCAATATATTCTTCATGTATAGATACAAACTCTTTAATCATGGGTTACTAGTAAAGTTTAATAATAACTATGATAATTCAATATACAGTCTTTTGTGCTTAACAGCATTTTATTAAATGTAATTACATTTTATATTATGTACTGCATAAAAAAATAGTTTGTTTTATAATTACATTTGACATAAGTCTATATATCGCAGCAGATGGTCCAGAGAAACAACAATAGCAGTACCATGGCAAGGTGTTGACAATGCGAGTCTTTTGAAAAGCAATTACTGTATAATGATCAGTGGTAAATTTATGAATACAGGCTAAGAATCAACAGTGTAAATCAGACGAGTCTTTCACACAGTGAGAGATACAGTGCTCTACTCATGCTTGGTACAAATAATAATTCATGTTAAGCACTAAATCCATGCGAGTCATTCAACACAAGTAGTGGAGGCTTGATGCCCTTCTGCTGAGCACGAGAAAAACATTTCCTTATTGTACAGGCTTACCTCACTAGTACGGTGCTCGCTTCAGAGTGCTTTGCTAGTATGGCACTTTTTCAATTATATTTATTACTTTTGGCAGTGATTGCTACATTTGGTTAGTAATACAGCATTCTAGCATTTTTAATTTTCCATTTTTATTTTTGCTTTTGTTTTCTAGGCCTAGCACTATTACACACCTGATGATAGTGTAAACATGCTTTTAGTCTTTCATATACACTGGCAAATGATAAATAGGCTGCGATTAACTTTAAGGTGATATGTGCTTTACTGCGACAGTCTGGAACCTAACCTGCCATACTTGTGAGGTATGCCTGTACTTATTCTTTCATACTTGGTACAACTACAACAGGTTGTAATAATGTTGGTAGAATTACCGACAATATGTAAAGTAAAAGGACACAAGTGTAACTAATGTGGCATTTTATTGTGGCAATGTTTTGCTCTCCAGGAGCTTTGTCAAGCCGATACAAACAGTATATGGACACAGAGGGTATATAAAAGCTCAGAGTGAGGTGCAATACTAGTGGTAGTAGTAGTAGTAGTGACAAAAGTTGTAGTAGTAGTAGTAATACAATATGGTAGAGCAAATAATTCGTACATGAGTAAAAGGATATAAAAGCTATTACTTGGGTAACATAAAAATAAGTTGGACAAATATAGACTGGAAAGAGGCAGCTTGTTTCAGTGTTCACTCTCTGTAATGTGCTTTGTGTAGTATAACAGGAGAAACTATGTGATGGCAGGGTTTACTGTTTTTAGTTGCACTTGTGTCCTTTTACTTTACAACTAAAACAATTTAATTTGTAATAATGCTTATGAACAACATACTTGCTCTTCAATGTTAAGAGATAGAGAGATAGAGAGAGAGATACAGAGATAGCTTATAATGGCAAACTATATACAAATTTTTTTTCAAGTAGTTTTTTATAATTTAAATGAATGTGCATTCAAAATGCATGCAAACCCTAAGAAAATTCCCCCAAAAAGCCATGTTGACCAAAGATGGAGCAAGAAGAGTAGTGTGGAAGTAATTATAAGTAAGATTTAAACATTTATGCATTAAACCACTGTACATCAGGGAATAACATCAGAAGAAAAATTATTATACACAAGAACTATGCAAAGGAGACAAAAGGTGTACAAAAAACTTGTATGGTGGCAAAAAGAATTCCATAGTTCTATTACAATAAAGCAATAAACACAAGAATAAGGTTGTTTAAAATTATGCAATAGCGTGATATAAGCAATACTCATGCAAATAAAAAAAAACTGTCCTAATTATGAATCAACAGAAATACAAAATAAGCAATGAAAGCAATAAAAAAAAAAGCAAGTCATCTGAGGTGAGTAGGACAGGGTGTACTACAGGGTACAGAGCAGGTGACAGGTGTACTACAGGTACAGAGCAGGTGACAGGGTTACTACAGGGTACAGAGCAGGTGACAGGGTGTACTACAGGGTACAGAGCAGACGACAGGGTGTACTACAGGGTACAGAGCAGACGACAGGGTGTACTACAGGGTACAGAGCAGACGACAGGGTGTACTACAGGGTACAGAGCAGACGACAGGGTGTACTACAGGGTACAGAGCAGTCATCTGAACACTGAACAGTCTTGTAATGTAGAACAAAAAGTGAAAGCCATGCAAAGAATTTACAAAGCAGCCAAAGTTCTGAGAAAAGGGAAGAGGAAAAGTAGCAGGGAGCAGGAGGAGGAGGGATGAGGACATTCAGTCACAGGCTGAAGCTTAATAATAAGAGGATCATTCCTGTAGTACATCACACACAGGTGACAAACAAGACCATCGAAAACATTTATTGGATGTTCTACATTCCAAGAGATACTTACAATCATGTTATGATTTCATGAGATAAAGCCCAGAACTTTCAGAAAAATTAAACACAAAATTAAATTGAACTAAAATAGAACTATCCAAAATGTATTAGCTATTTAAAGATTATAGTTTAGGACCATCAAAATAAAATAGGAAAACAACAACTATGAAAACAAAAAAATTATATAATGTTTAATATCAGGGACATATAGAAAAATTACTCACAAGGAGGAAGGTTAGGTGCAACTACAGATAATAACAGATACTCTAATAATAATAATATTATTATTAAACAAAGTGCTAAACCTAATAGACTCTCAAAGGAAGAAAAAATAACACACTACTATTTGGACCAAAATAAAAAGTACGTGGAAGCCATTTTTTTTTTTTTTTTTTAACAATCGGGCACCGTCACCTACCGAGCCTGGGTGACCCAAAGAGAAACAAAATTTTACTTCCTTCATATGCAGAAAAACACCCAGGGTGATTAGAAATACCACAGGTTGGTCTTTGAAATAAAAGGGAGAACTTGTAGTGAAAAGGCAATAAATGTTAGTAAATTTTGTGGTTTGCTACGCATAGAACAAAAAATTTCTAGAGGGGGGTGGGGGGGCAAACCCAACATCCCTCATTATATTACCAACAACAGTGTTCATGATATACTGCATTTTGTCATTCCCCCAGTCATATTTATAATTTGTGAAAGATAATAATATTCATTCAAAGCTAAATGCAAGGTGGGATTCTGATAAAAGATATTCAAACAGCATGTAAAAAACGAGTGGCATAATAAGCGAAATATCATACTTAAAAATAAAAATACTAATAAAATACAGTGGACCCCCAGCGTAACGATCACCCCAAGGCACATTATGTAAAGTTATTTAATGTAAGTGCATTTGTACGTGTATTTTGGGGGTCTGAATGGACTAATCTACTTCACAATACTTCCATAAGGAAAAAATTCCGTCAGTACAGGTCACCCTGAACATACTATTGGAATGAAAAACGTTCGTTAACCGGGTCCCCAGTACTGTGCATACATCTCATAAAAAGTCATATATGACGCTATTACTGGCCTGTTGTGTTCCAGACGTCTGAGCAGCTTGAGAAAGCCTCCAATCTCACCAAGATAGAAATATATAGTCGAGGAGCCTTGATTGCCAAAGAGAGCTCCATCGTCACTCACTGCGTCAAATTTGTTTCCCAGCAATGCCAGTGCTACGAGCGGTGGCACAGGCATTTTTCCATTCTGAAAAAAAAGGTTCATTATTTCTTCAGAACAATCGTACTTAAGAAGTCTACCTTAGAAAACCTACAAAAATGGATGTAATTTATGATTCACACAACGAATCAGTTGACATCATTTGAACCTTAAATTTTAGTTTCTTATGAGGTTAATGTAATGTTCTTGGCAAAGATTGTTGTTCCTTCAACCCAAAACATATTTTTAAAAAAATTAAATGAGTATAAAATCCCTTCCAATCTAGAACTCTGTAAATAAAATATATTAACTTCCTTTTCCAGTGTAGCACAGATCCAATCTTTGGATCAAAACAGTGCCTCTTCAGCAACACCTATGCTGGAGTGTTTTATTTGCTCTGCTCTTAGAATTCAATGATCAGGAATACCTGAAAGGTGTGTCGGTAAATGACCCAGCGCCCGTCCATCGACCAGCCACGTGGTGATCAGGATCTCCAACCTGCTGTACGCAAACCAACGTATTGAACACGGCCTGTCTGGTCAATTTGCTCTGACTTTAGGTGGCCTGTCCAGCTCCCGCTTGAAGACAGCCAGGGTCTAATGGTAATCCCCTTCATGTATGCTGGGAGGCAACTGAACCTTTTCTGCGTATTTACTCCTAGCCTCATAGCCAACAAGTACATAAAAAGACAGTGTTGCAGAAACTATATTACCACTATGTGTGTATAATTATATTATCTGGGGCTGGACTTTATCAGGTATAAATATGATAAAAATAATAACCCTTGTTTTTCACAAGTACACCATATACAGGCCTAGCAGACATCATGAAAGCTATATAGAAAGCCCTGTTTATGCAAATCATTTAGGGCAAATTAGGTTTTTTTCCGCCCAGCATGTGCCCCACACCGTTTGCTAACACCCAGGTGCCTACTTACACGCTAATGAACATAGACAGCAGGCGTTTTAAAGGAAACACTTCTTAATGTTTCCACCTATACCGGGGATCAAACCACGAGCCTAAATTGTAAGCTAGTGCACTACCAACCAAGCAACACTGAGTTCAAGCTAAGAGAGATCCAGGGAAAAGGAGAGTGAAGCAGAAATAGAAACCATTTTTAATACAGACAGTGGTTACCGATCAGGATACGAACATCTCAAACTCAAACAATTATTAAGTGTATTTTATGTAATTGCTTTTGTAAGTGAATTTTGGGGTCTGAAAATATTAATCTAATTACATTATTTCTTATGGGAACAAATTCATTCAGCATCATACTCAAACAGCCTACTGCACGAATTAAGTTCGTATCCCCAGTACCACGTATAAAGATTCTGATAATCTAAGTGATAGATCTATACACATGTGCATTCCTTCAAGAAAAGTGCTCTTCTCCCCTCTTTCTCCATGCTCTCTGCATTTTGTGATCCTCAGTTTCCAAGGAATCAGAAATTTCCACTCTTCATAAATTCATTTTTCCCATCTTGGATATCGCTCTTCCCATTTCATAGACTGCCTTCTCACGTGCTAAAACAGGCTACTCCTCCCAAACTCTCTACTCCTGCCAACCTCCTGTCTCTCCTTATCCCTACATTCTGACTTTCTAATCTCAACAACTCTCTCAGTTACTTAACCAAACTTCCTTTTCGCCATACATACACTCTACACATAATCTAGTTCATACCTCCTCCGTCCCTCTATAGTGGCACCTGGGTCCTACTCTAATTTCTTGTTCCTTCCGCCTCTGCAGTACTTTGGAGAAACTGGCCATCTCTTTCTGACAGACTAAGGGATCACAAAAAGTATGTTAGGCAAGCCCACCCTAACAAGCTCTTATTCTGTCATGCAAGATTACAGTCATCCTGAACAACGAAATTGGAATGAACATCTGAAATGGTATAAAAAATACCGACAAGTTGTTAGTAAGAACCATATAGCAACAGTTAGGTATCTTATTTCGGAAACTTTCGCCTACACAGTAGTCTTCTTCAGTTAGTACAGAAAGTAGGCAGAAGCAGTAGAATTTGAAGACGATGTAATCAGTCCATCACCCATGAGTCGTAGATTTAGGTTGTCCGTCCCTCAGCTGAGAAGTCAGTTCCAGTCATCCTATTTGACTGGTCTACCTGCTAAAACTGTCTACCCTACTTCCAACTTTCACAGTCAACCATCACATGGAATCCACCCTTACACACAACTTTCCTTATAGAATCTAGTCTCTTTGTCTCTAAAGATGCCTTCTTCCCATTACATTGCAAAAATGACCCCAACTTCAGAACAACCCGAGGACATAACCTGATTCTTTTTTTTCCTCTTTTCCCTCTCCCTTTTTTTCTTTCCTTTGGTATACTTTCTTCTGCCATGGTAGTATTCCACCCAGTCATGTAGTTCTTGCTCCTACCCTCTTGGGCCTCCTAGCTTCACTTGCATTCTCCTCTTTCTTAGTATTTGACTGACTCCACAACTACTACAACTACCTCCACTATTACCTCTTGTCCCTCCCTGTCTGCGCCTATATATACTCTCTCCCAATCTCCTCTTTTATTAGGTACTCTTTGTAATAGGTCCAAGATCGACCGAAACATCATGTAAGCTCCTCTCATCTATGTGCGGGTTATTTGTGTATTGTTTCCAGTCATGGTATTGTGCCATTTTTTATTATAACATACTTAAATACTGACAAAAACACACACATTTACAATAAATTGTGAGAATTTATTAGGCAATATCAGAAAATGTAAATTTAAAATGCTTAGAGATGAAGCGCAGAGTATTTCTATGATTTTTTTACAATACCTAGCCAGTTTTTTTTCAATACTTGGAATTATCCATTATAAGTATACAGATAAGTCACACAAACCAATATGGGTTTTTCAGCACCTCAAATGACCAATTCAAGTTCAACTCTGTGCTAACCAAGGTTAAATAAAATCTTTATTAATAGGTATGCCAACACATATGGCCCCCAGTTACCAATGTACAAGTTTACACTATAGTCTGTAAAACAAGCGTGAGCTGTTTGATTAGAGTTGAATGGATACAAATGGTTTTAATACTTGACGTGCTGTAGGAGTGTGACAAAGTAACATTATGAAGGGATTTCAGGGAAACCTCAGGCCACACTATGAGTCCTGAGATGGGAATAACAGTTCCTGCACTCTGAAGAGGGGTGTTAATGATGTTGCAGTTTAAAACTGTATGTGTAAAGCAACCCTTCTGGCAGCAGTGATAGGAGAGAATGATTGAAAGTTTTTCTTTTCGCCACCCTCCTTTGGATCGGCCGGTGTAACAATTGTGAGGGAAAAGTTCAATAATAAGTAGAGAAATAGTAAAGATAGTTTTCATTAACCGGCTACTATTAAGTAGGGTAATGTCAAGCTCCCGCCTTCCTTCCCCCTCCCCCGAAAGCGGAGACTACTCACGCTTAAACTGTGAAGAACTAGCAGTGGTGTCACCAACACCTGTCGAACCCCCCCCCCCCCCCCACATCAGCAACGGCTCGAATCAACAAGCATGTCACCACACCAGACACCCAAGATTAAAATACGTTGAATACAGTTATCA